TCCCTACCTGTGGGTGCCCAGAGAGACAATTTAGCCATCACACAGAGGCATCTCCAAGGAACGGGACCTTTCCTTTTGGGGCCCTACAGCAGACTGAGGGGTACGCAGACTGCGAGCTCCCTACCTGCCAGCCCTCCCAGGTGCTGCTTGCCTGGGGACTCCAGGAGAGTGGGGCACATCCCGAGGTGGAATGAAATCGATCCAGCTTGGACACCCTGTAGGTGATTCGAGACCAGCACCCCTCCCCTGACAGGGTCAGGGATTGATCTCCAGGGTCCAGGGGACAGGCCTGCAGACCAGACCCCGTACACCCAGGTCACGATCGCACTGCCCCGGGGCACAGAAGGGAGATCTGCGAATGAGCCTACTAAGGAGTGTGTGCCTTCAGGGTCAGATCAGCATGCCTGAGTGGCAACCCTCCTCCCAAAAGAGGGCTGTGCACCCAGCTCAGGCTGCAATCCTGGGTAGGGAACCTCCCGGCCCACGTCACAGCCAGGGGAGATCCATTGGCCTGAGGTCTTGCTTGCGGCAGAGGCCTGGGAGAGGCCACGGAGTGGGGGAGGTTGCAGGGGAGCGAGACCTGCTCCAGAGTGCGGGTCTCAGACATCCCCATCCCCCAAGCCCAGACTATTCAGCTGAGTGGAGCCATTTCAGCCCCTCCCAGCAGCTTTGCACAGAAGCAAAGAACAGACCTCTGACCCCTGCTAACAGCAGTTGTGGAGCCTGAGGGCAGGCTTACCCAACCCAGCCCTGCCCAGACTCACTCCCATTCCTGCCCGCACTGAGGTGCACAATAAGGACACACTTGAAGTCCTAGGGCCCCACCCACCTCCCGAGGCACAAGAGGGCTGCTCCAGAGGAACAAGAGCTGGCTACAGGACCCAAAAAGAGCACCGCAGCTCACTCCTCCCAGCAAGGGCCACCTACTGACAGGGAGGTCATTCCGAACACCCTTTTACTGCATCTACTGATTCATCATAAAGGGTGTGGTCGAATCTCACCCACAAACACCACCTACTGGCTCAGAGACTAAACAGGGTGTGTCATTATCCAAAC